AATTATAAAAAAATATTTATTATTAAGAAAAAATCTTCCTTTAATTAGTCGTTTCGAGTAATGTTGTTCACCGACTTTGAAAGCACCATTTTCAGAAAAACGTGTGCAATGTTTGGCCTTGTACTCCCAAGCACTCTGAAATGCCTTTTCAAATTTACGTGTAACTTGGAAAATATTCACCACAACGACAGGAAATTTTCTGTGTGTATTCTTAAATTCTTCGGTATATCAACCTTTAAGAATACCAAGTGAACCCGCCACATATACCATATAACTAAGTATATTCGATAATAAAACGAAACGAAGTTGGTAATTAGCTTCTCGAACCACGAATAAACCAACATGCAACAATTTATTCGTCATGGTAAATATTTCGATATTCACCCCAAGATATTCTGAAAGTCTCCCAAAGTAACTGATTTTTATTTCTGATGAAATAGGTGTTTTATGATTTCTTCTGTGCTATTTTTACTTTACTTTAAAATACTTGACAAAAATAACTTAAGATAGTTGCTTTYGACTCGTCAAACATTACTCTCCAGTGAATCGAACAAACTATACCAGATGGTCAAACTAACGGGGAGCAGTTGTAGTGCAACCCTGAACTGATACGTTTTCTGACGCTTCTTAATTTACAATTCTTTTATTGGCGTTAAGAGTCGTTGCAGCAACCCTTCATTTTCTTTTTCCATAAATTACTAAAAATGTTTTTAAATATACAAGAAAAAAAAACGCTATTCATATTTGTCATTTGAACCATTCATAATAGTACAACTGATCGAAAATATGCAAAGCAAAACTTGGTAGCATTGACGTTGACGTTGGTGATCATGACAAAAAACTACCTCCAGTCGCCAATGTTTCACCGGTAATACAAGATTAGGTCAAAGCGCAAAATGTATTTATTTACTTGACACCTGGAGTAAATTTTTGCCGTGATCACCGGTCATTAACTGACAGTCAACGTGTTAATGTAACTTTTGCACGTAATATTTGAGAGAATAGARCTGAAGCGGGCAGAGAAATGGCGAATCGRAGACTGCTTATATCGCATTAACATAACTCGACTTACGCTATTTTTACATGTTGATAAAGAAATTTCACCAGCTTCAAATTTTTGCATTCTTCCAACCGCAATGGGTTACAATGAACACAGTCTTCCTTTAACTGCCTTGGAACACTTAGTAAAAGTATGTTATAGTTTATAAAAAAATACCTTATTTTATAGTAAAAAAGTAAATTTGGATTTATGTTATGTCAATCACTGTAAATTGATTGTATATGTTGGCGGCGGCAGCTTAAAACTATTAGAGCATAATAAAATCTATATTCACTCAACTACAGATATTATAATATATGTTTAACGATTTATGCCTTAAAATTAAAATTATCTATTATAAATCATTTATAAATTATATTAACTTATTTAAATTACTATATTAAGCAAATTTGTCCTATTTGACAAACACTCAAACCTTATTCCTTATCTTCATTTAACTTTCAAATTTTCTAGGTTTTTAAATTTTGCATTTATAAACATAATAAGACAATTTGTACTTCCTCATTAGCTTAAATTAATTGTATTGTTAGTGAAACATTTTTAGATTAATACTTAATTTAAGACAAGCCACCTTCAGTAAACGACCAACAGCTGCAGCAGATATTCGCAAGCGTTGACCCAAATGTCAGGAGTCAGCCGTCAACAGTCATTTGTCAGCAGTCAACTGTCAGCAATCAGCTTTCAGTACTGAAAACAGCAATACCATAGCGCAAAATGTCAAATATTTCCATAACAGCTGAAAGAGTTGTGATCTAAGTACATACTTAGTCGTCCAAATCCGTGCAGAATATAATCAAAAAATGAGCTTTTACGGCAACTAAAATTGGTGCAAATTACTCTAAAACTAAGTAGAGTGATTGTAGGCATATAAAGACGAGTTGAGAGCAAGTAAAATGAGAGAGTCTTCAACAAAATGTCGCGGTAAATCAATTGGGCAAAAAGGGGTAACAAAAGAAATTCAAAATATTATATAATAACTGTGACAACTAAGTTTTAATTAAAACACTAAATGTATATTAAAGTATACAAATGAAATTGTACGTAAATTGTTGTGTGTCTGTAWTAAAAATTTAAAACTCACCAAATCAGGAATGCCAACTTTGAATTGAAATTACTTTTTAACGCTTTCTTCAGGCAAATCATTTATTTCACGCATTGCATTGCATTTTAATTGCTATAAGCCATTTTAAATAATTTTAGATAAATCAAATGTTATTAAAACAATTACATATTTTTAATTAGTTTATTAAATAAGCAGCGATGTAAGCTCGCAAACGAAAACTATATATTTTAAGTGTGCAAWGTCCAACTTGGCTTTAATTAGTATGCAACTTGCTGAATTTTCATGTAATACTTTTTAAGCAAACATATTTTGATATTTAGCCAAATAAGTTCATTTAAAACTTGTGTATTATGATTTGATATGATGATTAGATGAAGGCAATAAATGTATAAACAAAAAAGAAATTGCGTATGGTTGTGTACATTTATACATTTTGGCGTGAACGGTAAGGGAAAGGTTAAGAAAAAGGTTTCGWATCAAARTAGCACAAGGRRTTTCAGAAACAACCGCCGTAGACGGAAGCAGCATCCGCTGTTTGCTAAAAAACAAAAAATAAAWTGCAGCCTCACTGTTTACTAGGCGCCCATAACAACACAGTAGGTGTCGCAAATATGTTAAAATTGCTAGCAACTGCCAAAAACACCCATTGGTTTCAGTTGCCAAATCGTTCCTACTAAAACAATAGTATCAAATTTCGAATTTCGAAGTCGATTGTGCATGCTTTCTCTCTCCCTTTATCTGTTATGATCGCCTGATRTATTTCGGAGAAAATTCATGGAAATATAGCGTATCGAAGCGACTGTTATCGCGATCATCATYACAGACGCGCTCCGAAAAGATTTTTACTTACTTTATCATCTCTATTCACCAAGTGAACATAAAAAGCAACAGGTGCTTCGCTTTCAGTAAAGCGCCTTTGGTATACCAATAAAAATTAGTTCCGAATCTCAAATCGTAACTATGGTAATTTCTAAGCTAAATATATTTTAYTATTGGACATTGGGTTTAGGTTGGTACCTGCGGTTTTTAATGATATCCTGGTAATTGTCGTACTGATAACGCAGTTTTTTAGTTTTTAAGTCCTTCTCCACCTGATCTTTACAACGAGTGGAGGTCAATTTCAATAACAGAGACCTCGAAAACGTCTTTTCTACCAGGTGCACATAACAGCACTGTAGGTGTCGGAAAGTAATATATTAAAATTGGCCGCAACAACACCCATTGGTTTCAGTTTTCGTTCCTAAAACAATAATAAATTTAAAAGTTCGATTTTCGATATCGAATTTCCAATTTTCCACTTCCACTCTTTGYGTCGCTCTTATGATCGCCTGATAAATTGTGCAGAACTTTTAAGGAAATATATGCAAACTTATCGAATGGGATTAAAAACAATAAAGTAGAATTTGCTATGCAATTTCGACAAGTTACAAAGTAAAGCGTATCACTTGCTACTAGGCGTACAAAACCGTGCAACAGCTGATTCGAACATATTGAAAATACTAGTTTTCGTTTGCTACAATAAATTTATAAAAACAAAAATTCGTTCCCATTTAAAAATTTTTTCTAAAAGACACCTCGTTCCGATCTCAAATTTCGTTCCTAAACAACACTATAMAACGCACTTATTTTGTTATTATAAACTCATAATTTTTCTTACTGGCGCTCTTTTATGATTCCCTGGCTTACATAGCGCTTTCATTTTTCGCACAAAATATGTGAAAATATTTAAGAGGCTGAGAAAATATTTGGGAGGTATTCTAGTATAAATAATATAATTTAAAAAGGCAGCCAGCATCGCTTACCACCAGGCAAACATAACAAACAGTAAGTGTTTCGAATATAAAAAATCCTTCGAGCTTATCGCTATTCAGCGACATAACAACAGACATCAGCTCCAATTTTCATATCATTCCTATGATATAAAGCAATCATAWATATGCTGTTGTTTGGACTTAATATTATTTTCTTTATTGTGATCCTTTTATGATCGTTTCAGTTAATTGTCAGATAATATCTGARAGAGTATTAAATACAATTTTTTCTTGGCTGTAATATTTTTTAAGAYTCTTGCTGCAATGCTGAGGGTTCCAAATAAAGAGTAGGAATAAACTCTAAAAATGTGAAATCCTAAATGATAAGAATGAATAGYAAATAGTTATATTTAGAACAAGACGCCAATAAAGACTACAGTACATATATTTCACTTATATAAGAGTACGCCATATTTATTCATAAAAAGCTTGTTAATTTTTTTTTTCATTTTAGCAACAAATATAATTTTTTATAGTTGTGTAATTGTTCCTAAAGAGGCATATAGTATACAATATAGTTGTTATTTTATTTTTTCTTGCTACTTATGATACCGTACATTCGGTTTGTCATATACGATGCAATCCCAATGAGAGAGCACATAACAACACTGCAAAAAGTGTTGTTTCATCATATGCTTTGAACATCATCTTCTGCAGTAATACAAATTAGTTCCAAATATCCCAAGTCGTTCCTAAAATAACAAATACTAAGCATGTTACTCTTTGCAATATTTACAGCAAAGCTTTGTTTTTGCACTATTCGAACTTCAATCAGTTTGTTTTTGTGTGAGAGAAATACGGAGTGAATTTATTTTCTTACCTTTGATTCATGATCGCCTGGTGCATTKCAACAATTTGTAAACAAAGCTTTCAATAATCGAAAAACAACAACATACATATATAATGAAAATGTGTCTGTTACAACAGCTGCCATCGTTTTACGTTTCCTGATACTCCTTTTCATACGCGCTATTTAATTCTAAGCTCWTCTGCTTCGCGGCAGTCTTGCGAACAGACATTGAGAATTTARTGTGGTTATTTCATATGCAATAAAGTACCGATTTTAAAATTAAGCTATTTATCATATACATACGTAAATATATCCTATTTAATTATATAAAAACATAATAACGTAATATAATACATTAAAAATCTTAATATTGGAAAGTAACATTTTTTATCTTGCTTAGAATCTAGCATTTTATGTTAACGGGCTGACTTGCCGTAAAAATACTATTCGTACACAATTGGGAATATACATACATATGTATATGTATATATATGTACTAGTATCTAATTTTTAAAAGTTTTCAATTATCCACTTTTCATCCAAATAATTGGAAAACGTGAGGTCTCTGAACTTTGAAATAATGTAGAACAAAAATATTTTTCAAATTTAGATAAGAATTGGTAAATGTGAAAGCAAAGGCAAAACCAGTGCCTTGAGTGATAATCAAAGAAACGTAATGGACACGGAGTTTTTCTTTTCTTTCTCAAAATTACTACAGTAATATTCACTGCTGCCACAACATCAACATAATCAAMTGAAACTCAAAATGTTCAAGGTGAGTTATAAGGGTTAAGAAAGTTTACGCCTAAAAGTATGCTACAATGGAAATAATATTCTSGAGACAATACAGTCCAATTAGATAATAAAATTCTTCAAAAAGAAAATACTTAAATATTATCAAAGTCGGTTTATTCAACATGTTTCAAGGAAATAATAATAATAGATTGAAATAATTATTCGTTATTAAATGGTTTTTTAATTGTTCCAAGCGCTAACAAAAACTATTTTTTTTTTTTTGTAAGTATATAAAGAAGTTACAACAAGAACACGTTTGTATAAGTCTGCACTAAGATTCCCACTGAATGTTAAGGGCGGAGCTTGCTTTAGAAGCTGCAAAAGTTCGATTTTTTTATGCTTAAATCTCTTTACAAAATAATCTCAGAATATGTCCCCAAAGTTGTAGATGGGAATTCGAAATATTTTCGAAGCCAGAAGGGAAATATTGACCGTGCATCTAGCAGATATGTATGTGAGCGATTGGCCAGAAAGCGAAAACTTTGACTCTCGATTTCTCTGTTTTCATTTTTACGATTTTTCTTAACTGGCGGGACAGAAAAAAAAATTAAATATAATCATATGGAATTTGGGCAAAGTTAATTATCTTCGGCATTAAATTATTTTCTATTTAAACTAAAAAAATTAAAATAAGTCAAGTTTGACCATATTTTTAAACAACACAAGGTAAAATTTTTTTGGTCAAAAAACACTTTTTTCAATTTTTAATTTTTTTTTTTTTAAATTCTACCCTTTTTTGGAATTTTTTTAGTTTAACTAGAAGATAAATTATAACTAGAAATTGCGACCTGCATCCTGCCCACCGTCCGGTAAATGCACATGCAAGAAGCATCGGGCAATTGCTTCCTAAAGGCAGAATATCAAAGATTTCGAATACAAAACATTTGTGAATGATGCTTAAATATGTAACCATAAAACCTAGAAATTTAGCTTTTATCACTTATTTCCTTCCCTCCGAAAAAAAACCCCAAACAATCGATTCTTTGAAGCCTCTAAAGCAGGCACCCCCCCTTAAGCTTAAAATTGGCTTACACGTATACAAAATATTGTGCAATAAAAACATAAATAAATATCTTTATATAAAAATTTCATACAACTCTTTACATACAAAATTAGTTCTGCACGTAATGAATTAATAAATTAATCTGAATAAATATAAAAAATACATATCATAAAAATATAAATATTTATGAAAATTCTTCTTACCTTCAGACAAAATAATACGTTTGCTTGCCATTAAAAAGCAATGAAAAATAAAAACAAATTAACTCACGCACAAAAATCAACGATGTTCGTATACTAAGAACATTTTGCACCTAACAATCCTCTCTTACGAATTACTACAATGCACTACAAGAGGAAATGAGGATTACAATAATTTAAATTGAGCCTCTCACATAATTTCTGTAAACTTCGAATTATGCAACAACAAGCCGGAACAAACCAACCGAAACGATGTTTAGTGGTTACTGTGACGAAGATRAGGAATGACAAATACAAATCACAATAACAAACTACGCAGATTTCGTTTAGTGCAATTTTAAGAAGCAACAATATGGGAATTGGAACACGAAATATTTTAGCGCCAAGGTCACATAGCAGATGCTGTTACATATATGTATGTATATGTTTGGTGGAGTAAAATTTTTTTTTCTTTTTCGGTATTGTAACAATTATTGTTCATTTATAATATTTAAAGTGTTATTTCTCAATATTCTGGTTACATTATTTGATTTAATCAGGAATTTTTATTCTGCTTAAGGAAATCATGTCATAATGAAAGGAAAATACAATCATAGCAACCTAAAAAAATATGTCGACGAATGAGGTTTCGCGCGAAATTTAGATTTATTAGTCTTACTATTTTTTGCCCACAGTAGTAAATTCTCATATTTATTTTATAATGCCTATTTCAAATTATTTACCTAAAAAATTTACAATAGCTCGTTCAAATATACAATATGTATATAAATAAGTACATAAATTTGGACATATCCCCCTCTTTGTCACTCGTTCACTTTAAATTAAATCGCCAGGCTCTTTTAAAAACAACGCTTTATTCAAAATGAAATATGCAAAWGGGCGCTAATATAGCTAAATAACGATTTAATATGACATTCTTTCGATAAATATAAGGAATATATAAACAATATATAATATGTATTTGACTAGCAGTATATTAATAATGGCAGTTCTCATAGCATCTCAAACCGATTCCGCAATGTCAATGCAACTATTGCCAATAACCTGTCTAAGCAATGATTTAATTTCACTGCAGCTGTCGTTCCAAGCTGTCGCTAAGATTTAGCTTAGCCAATAATTTGATGCGCTGCTCAACCAAACCCAAAGGACGGCGACGTACCAGGTGACAAGTTGATTGTCTGAGAAGAAAATGGAAATAATTCGTGAGTAACGTTCGTTGCACTTAATATATRTACTTCAAGTGCAAGTGATGCAGGAAATAACACTATATACTGTACAAAATATATAGTCACAAGATTTGACCAGATTTATGTTCATTCATAGTTAGGTAGTTTAAAAAGTGTACGCACCTTAGTATATTTCGTTTACTTACTTATAAATAATCTTCTCTCGATCTGCCCACGGCCAAGAGCGCTCCAATTTATCGGCAAACTGAAAAATGTTAAAAAAGTTTAACTTTTTTGAAATAAAATATTGTATTCCTTATTACCTAGCTGACTTATAACCGGCTAGTATAGGCGTGTTTAAGACCAATCCAATATTTTTATGTATATTATTACAAATCATTATTATTGCCTTAAAAATAAACTTYTTTTGAGCCACTACAAGCAACGCCTAATTCAATTTCCCAAAAACGTTTTATAAGTCTCGGCTGAGACGACCTTCATCAAATGACTTTCAATGACTTTCAACTCAGCTACGTTGTCAAGCATCTTTTTTGCGACCTCTACTTGGCGTGATCTTTGCAAAAGGATCAGATCCTCGTATTTATACGATTCATACTGGAATATGTTGTTTTGATCCATAAGAGATGTTGAGAGCCTCCAAATATCTGTGATGCCAACGCAACGATTATCCAACACTGTTTCTTTAACTTTYACTGYGTTATTGYCTATTTTGACATTTCTCTTCAGTAAGGTAAGRCCTAAACTTTAAGAGCGCTACGTCCAATTTATGGTCGCCATAATCGCTCTGAACCCACAGACACAGTACAAAATGTTCCMGTGCCAGAGAGACAAAGAAATGCYTWTAGTTGGCCTACATCCTTACAAGATCAAATTGACGCAAGAACTAAGGCCGCTTRACATTCAGAATCATKGTATATTCGTGAATTRGGCTGAGCAAGAACTTGAAAATTAACCGGATTTTCATCGAAAAAATTATCTTCAGCGAGGAGGTTCATTCCTGAGTGAATGGCTTCATCAGTAAGCAAAATATGCCGAATATCGAACGTGAAATTGCAGTATTGCAGTGTCGACCCATTTATGCTTCAAAAGCGTCGAAAATTAAGTTCAAGAAATCGAGTGTTCCTTCACAAAAATAAAAAATGTCATAGATTTCCCCAACCGATTTATTTTATTAAAAAAAAAAAACGTTTGCAAGATCTTATTGAGGTTTCAGGGCCGCAGAACGTTGGAATGAAGCAATATCTTTCAAAGTCTTATAAACGTAGGCTGCTTTAGACACAGTTGACTTTAAACCGAAAATTAACCCAACCATAGTACCCGATTCTGATACGTTTTTTAACCGTACTCCAATGCTTAGTTTTACTATTTGTCACTGTAATTTGCATTGATGAATATTCARCTGCCTAAATTTCGATTTTGAAAGAAATTTTAATCAAACGACAACTCTAATTAACTATTAACACTTTTACTAAAAAAAAATTCTTAGAACTTGTGGTGATTATCTCCACTTTATTCTTCAAAGGTAGCCTGGTTACGTATTAGATGGTATTGAAAGTAGAAATTCCACTTAAAAGAAAATAAAAAATGGAATAATCATTTGTTTTCACGCTCCCAAAACCTCCAAAAAAAACCAACACACTTGAATAGTCTGCAAGGAAGAAACATTCATAATAAAACGCTATTGGCCTTACTGAAGTAATTAAAATTATAGATCAATAATAAAATAAATAAGCACAAGTACTCAAGCCAAGCGCAGACCCGATTCACCGTTAGGTTATTAAAAGTAATTTTATCCTCAAACTTTAYAGCTCATCGCTTCACTTTTGACAGCGCACACATAATGCAAACACTAGCCATTTTAAAAGCTTCCTGCTTGAAGGCTTTCATACCACCTTTCACAGAAAACCACACAAATCAGAAAAATCTGCACACAAATATTTATGAAACAGCARACGACACTTACCTTCTTCTCCTTTTCATCCTCCTCATCGACCCACTGCAAATGCTTTTCCTTCTGCAAGTCATCGTCAGCATGGCACCAACGCGCTTTCTTTTTCGGCTTTTCCTCATCCGTGTCATCCATGTCAATCTGATCCTTATATGAATTGCTTTCGTCGCTGGATTGTTTCTCGTCATTCAACTGTAACTTAGGTATTTTGTTCAAATTCCAGGTATAGGTGGCAGTTAGGAAATCTTCGTCATCATCAGTGGCAACGTCATCGTCATCACCACCATTGCCTGCCACTTCAGCGGCGTCCGTTTCAACATCACTACTACCTGWGTTGTCACTAACGAGTCTGGCTGTTATAACATCTTCGTCRGAATCCTCGTTGTCATCATCATCTCCATAAGCCTGAGCTTCATCATCCGTCGTCGTTATATCGTCGTAATCTTTGTCATCTTCAACAGCATTAGCGCTGACATTGAAATTGTCRTGATGATGTTGTTGCTTATATTGTTTGCTCTGCGGCAGACTTGACTTGGCCGGTCTAATTCGTGTCACAAACGCATATGGTATTGCGGCTTCTGCCTCACTGCCAGCGTTGTTTTTTACCGGATCCGTTGCGCGCGAATTGTAATTACTTGCTCCACTTTCAACGTGCTCAAAATAGGCTGCTTTGCTCGCTCCATTACCTTCTTTCATATTTCTACCCTCGCAAACGTTTTCATCATCATCTTTGTCGTCAGCATCATYGCAGCCGCCGACATCAGCAACGTCATAATCGTCATCCGTGTCTGCTTCATTTGATTCATAATTGCCTTCCGATGCATAATCCGATTCCGGCGTCGAGTCTTTTGCCAAGTACATTTTCACGCCACCGAATGGCTCAGCGGTTTTGGCGTTTGCTTTTCCTTTAGCCTTCAACTTGAGACGTTGTTCGGCGTTGGCGCCACTTAGCTCGTAATCCAGTGCATCCTCATCGTAGGAATGCTTGCGGTGTTGCTGCAAATCACTGGGATTCAATTTCTCGAATGTTTGCGACACGGTGGCGAGTGTGGAGGAGAGTATTTTCGGTATTTCCGCAATTTCCGATAATTTGCGTTGCATCTCGCGCAGGCGAGCCTCTATAGAAGCAGCCGATTTCACTATTTACAGTGGTGGAGAAATTTTATGGAAATTAAATATTAAACGGAAATTAATAAACGAGGAAGAAACACGCAA